AAAATGAAGCATATCCAGTCCTTTTGTCTATTTCAGAAATGCTCCTTAATTCCTTCTCCTGCTCTTTCAGCAAATCCTGCTCTTCTAGGTGTGTCTACCTTTAAGGATCTTTTATGAACATGAAATCAGGATCCTGTCACCATCTTCAGGTTTGTTTTCATAACCACTGATTAGGTAAACTTAGGCGGTACGATGGCATCGTGGAGGTGAGCAGGGATCTGAAGTCAGACGCTTACAGGTTATGGCAATTTACTTAACCTGTCTCTGCCTCTGTTTTCACCTCGTTAAAACGGGGATTAACAGTATTTTTTCTCACAAAATTGTAGTAAATTAAATACTATATTTAAAGTGGCAAACAGAACTAAATAAATGTTAGTCATAATTAATTTAATGTCATCATGCTGTCATCATCATAATTGCCAAGCCTGCTGCTAGGTGCTGGGAATTCAGTCCAGAGACTATTGTTATTTAAAGGAGACAGACATATAAATGAGTAAATACTGAAAGGGGTCCCTACTGAAATGAGGAAACAACTGAGCAGCGTAGGGTCTGAAGGAGATGTAAAAGCACCACAATTCCCTTGTTCCCGCATCACGGTGTATGGCTATGGCAGTGACCAAGGAAACTAAATGTTTTAAAACAACCATGCTTGAATGAGGCATCAGAATTCCTGTTTCTTAGGTCCAGGAGTTCTTAATATCTAACAACAGTGACCTCTCCCTGTGGATCATGGAGGCAGAAGGTCACTGCGAAGATGTCTTAGTGCCAGCTGAGTCCCAAGGTGTCACTGACATCTGTACACAAGGCTTTGAGCTAACTGCAGCCAAGGCTGAATTAGAGCCAAAAGTGAAAGGACTCCAGGTGCTTCCTACCAAGAGCCAGCAATACACTTGCTCTGCCTGGCCAGGGGCACGCCAGAAAAGAAGGCATCTACCCTGCAGCCCCATACTGAGGTCCTCAGGGCCTCGGGGATGCTGCCACATCCTTGCCCTCATTTCTGCGGCTCCCCCAGAGAGAGAAATCTCCCTCCCTGATGGAGCCTTCTGTATACAAGCAGAGCCCACACTCTCCTACCAAAGGGGCCTGTCCACTCTCTCTTCTCACATTCTGCCATTTTTTACCCCTCCAAACCAGGGGTGACTTACTTCATTGTCCCAAATAAGTTAACCCCGCTGGGAACCTTTAGAGACTGATGCTCCAGGCATTCCAAAGCAAAGGAGAACCCACTGCTCCACGTCACAGAACACTCTTCCTTGTACTAATCCACTTTTTTTACTCTCAGGTTAATTAAGCTTTAGTGGAATAAAAAACATATAATCTTCAGTGTTTCTTCACTCCATCCTTATATGAATTAGGTTCTAGGTTTTTTTTAGAGATCACTGTTCGTATTGCATTCACTTTTGAGAAATTCAAAATTGCTTAAGTGTCATTAATTTTCCTGACATCACTGTGAAGATGGGCCTCCCACTTCCCATCTCTCTACCCTTCCAGCTGATAACAAACAGATGTTTCTTGCTAAGGGAGAATCTAATCGCAGTGGCCACCGTGATGTGTGGCCACACACAAAGCTGAGCGTGACAGACGGCTGACAGTGGGTGCTGCATCTGGGGAGGGCTGACATTCACCGACAGCCAAAAAAGGAGAGAGAATGACCCCTTCTGTCAGGGCTTCCAGCAAGAAAGGAGATTTTCCACCACCTGAATTTATAGTCGGCTTAGTTAGGGAACGAACAACTCGTAACTGAAACTCTTTCTTAATGCTTAGTAGTTTCTGTGGTGAGTTTGAAGGTTTGGTACTGTACATCAAGTTGAAATTCAATGATGGTATTTCAGTTTCCTTCCACTGTAGTTAATTTGTAAGTTAGCATAATTTCAGATTCTGTGATGTTAATTTATATCATATTTACCAGGACATCCAACAAAAATCCCAGCTGAAATATGAAAGGAGTTTAATTTTCAGCTATGAGAACTGTAGTTGAAACAACTTTTTAAGAAAATTATTTTAATTGACACATTGTAATTGTACATGTTTACGGGGTATAATCTGATGTCTAATACATATATATGTTGTACAGCGTTCAGGTGAGGGTAGTTAATGTAATCATCATCTCATGCATTTATCATTTCTTTGTGGTGAAAACATTCAAAAGCCTCTCCTCTAGCTATTATGTAATATACAAAACTTAACTGTTAACTGCAGTCACCCTACTGTGCAACAGAACACCAGAACTTATTCCCTTATTCCTCCTATCTAATTGAATTTTGTGCCCATTGGCCAACCTCTCTTTGTATTCACTTCCCCCTCTATTCCGCTCCAGTCTCCTCTGGTAACCACTGTTCTACTCTGTGTCTATAGTGTGATTTTTTTTAGATTCCACATATGAGTCACATCATGTGGTATTTGTCTTTCTGTGCCTGGCCTACTTCATTTAACATAATGACCTCCAAGTCCATCCATGTTGCCCCAAATGGCAGGATTTCATCCTTTTTGTGGCTGAATAGTATTCCACTGTTTATATATACCACATTTAAAAAATTCATTCATCTGCTGTTGTACATGTAGGTTGATTCCATATCTTGGCTCATGTAAGTAGTGCTTACAAGAAAGTAGTGCTGCAATAAACATGGGACTGCAGATATCTCTTTGCCGTACTGATTTGATTTCCTCTGAGTGAAACTACTTTCATACTACAACTCAATAATCAGCAGTTTTCCAAGAAGGTATTGAGGGAAAAACCCATTCTAGATCATTTATATCACACGTCTGGCTCCTTGGAACTGGAGCTCACTGATTTTAGATAACATTAAAAGAATCAAAAGATGGAATCATGAAACATTTTTGAAAAAGGAAAATTCCCATTTTAACAAACTAACTGGGTCATTCAATATATGAGGATACTTCAAAAAGTTCATGGAAAGATTCATATTATCTTTTAATTCTGTTTTTCCATGAACTTTTTGAAGTACCCTCATATGTCCTATGTTAATAAAAAATAATAGATCCTTGATGTGCTTTTTGTTTTTAAAAATGGGGCCGGCCTGGTGGCGCACTGCTACAGTGCGCCGCTTGGGAGTGTGGCGGTGCTCCCGCTGAGGGTTCGGATCCCACATACAGACCGGCCGCTCACTGGCTGAGCGAGGTGCGGGTGCAACACCGAGGGTTGTGATCCCGTTGCCGGTCACGAAAAAAGACAAAAAGGAAAAAAAAAATGTACTAAAAGTTACCCAAAAAAAATAAAAAGTGAAATCAGGAGATACCTGAGAATGAAAAGCGAGGTGGTGAGAAAGGGAATACTTTATTTACTGTACAATACTGTATTTGTACTTATGCTCTCTTGTGGTCTTGCCCATCTCCTTCCTCCGTGGTCCACTCAGACCCTCTGGTGCCCTCCCCTCACTGCTCTGGACAGGTCGGCTGACTCTCTTCCTTGCCGACTGTCAACCCTGCACTGGACTGGGATGCAGCACTTCTAAGCAATACCCTGGGCTTTCTTCCAAACACATCAATTAACTAATTGGATAAAGACTAGTGAAAGTGTCTTTTCTGTAGGATTTTTCTTTAAATATTATTAAAAGATATTCTTTACCCAAGGTGCTGGAACAAGATTGGGGTTGTGTAAGAACCTCATGTTAAAAAGAGCAGTCATGGTATATGAAAATGGCTGCCTTTATAAGGAGTAAGGATAAATGATAATAAAAATTGAATAATGACAATGATAAATAGCTGCTAATTGGGACCAGTGTCTGGTGAACTGTCACAAGCCAGCAAAAAACTACAATTTATTCCTTCTGATAGTGACTTTTATAAAATTAATATCTGGAAAATGCTGAAACTGAATGTTAGCTCTCATTCAAATGCCAATAATTTGGGGATAAGAGAAGGGCTATACAATTTAAAATTTTATATTTAAAAAACTATTGCTAAAATCGAGAATATTTTCAATTATTGGATTAGAAATTCCTAAGTCTCTGTTCTTGTGCAAAAAATAAAAATTAGCTTTAAATATCCTCATGAAATACACAGAATTGAGACAGACTCATTTTAAAAACCATTTTATATTTATGTTTGTATCTATCTTTGCTTTACTGTTTTCTTTAATTTCTGTTTTTGGCAAATACTATCTTATCGTATTTTATACATTCTTACAAACTACCTCAAAATACCCCCAGAAGGAAGAGAGAATAAAATAGAATAAGCGTACTAACAAATTTGGAGCTGAAAGGATTTAAATTTAAGGAAGCACCTCCAGTTACAGTCATTTAAGAAGTATTTTGGAGGGAGGGGGATGGGCTTAGGTACAGTTCAGTAGGAGAGGGTATTGACCTCTGAAGCATCTTCCTGAATTGGGTTTAAACTAAATGTATTGGCTTGTTTACCAAAAGACATGCACACTGTGTTTCTCAGTCAACAAAAGGATTATAATAAAGAGGAAGTTGGGATGAAATAACATGGTTTAATACAGTTTAACGTGTGCCATGGTTTAAATATTTGTCCCCTCCAAAGCTCATGTTGAAACTTAGTCCCCAAATATAGCAACGTCTGGAGGGAGTGGTTCGGGAGGTAATTGGATTGTGAGGGCTCTGTACTCATGAATGGCTTAACCCATTCATGAATTAATGGATTAATGGGTTATTATGGGAGTGGCACTAGTGGCTTTATAAGGAGAGGAAGAGAAGTGAATGCATTCTTGCCCTGTCGCCATGTGATGCCCTGTGCTGCCTCGGGACCCTGCAGAAAGCTCCCATCAAGAAGACGACCCTTACCAGATGTACCCCATTAACATTGGACTTTCCAGCCCACAAACTGTAAGAAATAAATTTCATTTCTCTATGAATTACCCAGTTCTAGATATTCTGTTGTAAGCAACAGAAAACCGGCTATTACACCATGCAAGTCGCTGCTTCTGGTGATCATTTTCAAAGACATGTTGCCAAAATAGGGCTGCTGTCTTTAAGTCCAAGCTGTGCTTTCGTCACACGATGGTCCTACGACTTACTCACCATGCGTGCCCGAAATAATGCAGGAATGAAGGACTGGTTAGATAGGTTGAGAGTCCTGGAAGAGTCCTTTAGGACATAGATATTGCCAAAATCAATTTGAGTGGGATGTACGTAGATAACTGGGCCTTCTCCAATGCTCTTTACATGACATACCTGTGTTCCGAAAGAGAAAGAGCACAGAACAGCTGAAAATAACTAGTCTTTAAAAATCAATGAAAACAGAAACTTCTAGCCCCCCCCCTTTAATAAAAGTCAAGGGCATAAATGGGTACTTATGAGAACTGACATCCCTTCTCACTGGTATTACACAGTCAGATCTGTGAATCCCACCTGGAATACTCCTCAAGAAGGAGGTCAGCTTCCCGAGGGCAGCCCAGAGCCAAGCACTGAGGGGAAACCAGAATCTTGGGACCCCACATCCCACACCACACTCCAGCCTCAAAGACACTTAGCATGGGGTTAAGGGCCAGCCCTTCAGAGCCAGATGTGGCTGGGCTTGAGTCCCAGTTCTGTTGCTTTTGCTAGCGATGTGTGGAGGGCAGGACTGTCACACACAGTCATGCAGGTTGGGGGTTGAAATCCACTCTGCTCAGCTGCCCTCTCCCTGTGTCCTCAGCCAGGATGTCTGCCTGAGGAAGGTGGGCCCTTTTCTTTCACAGAGTGCCATCTGTCCAGCAAGCTACCCTCTCACGGGCTGCATCTGTGCCAGGGCGCACAGTGAGCCTAGCAGGGGACTTGGACTGGTGGCATGCTCTGGGGTTGGTCTGCCTTTGTGCTCTGCTTTGTAAGTGAGGTGGGTTATCTATGGCATCTTACACGGAAGGGACAAAAGCAATATCCTAGTTTAATACACTCTAAGTAATCAGATTAACTTTAGACAAATGTAAGCTGACATTGCCCAGCTCCCAAGTAAACCAAATGTCTGGGGATACGTAGCCTGTTGGCAACTTTAAGATTCAAGATTTACCCTTGAATTCAGCCATAACAGTGGAGATCTTTCCATGTTTCCCTCTTACCACACTTGGAGAGAGACTGTTTTTCTTAACAGTGTCAGTAGGTTAATTTGGGCTATGAGTCAAGTCAATGTACAGAGAAAATCGGTGAGCAGTGAATGGAACTGACCTCACAGCCCATATGTGACAGACTGGTGAGACCCAAACCCAGCTTTGCACAAGGAATAACTGAAACACCTGAGGAGCTTGTTAGACATACAGTTGTGCTGGCCCCTTCCCTTCAGAGATTCTGATTTAAAAGGTCTGGAGAGGGGTTAGGTGTGTATGCATGTGTGTATGCGTGCGTGTGAAACTCCTGATACTCAGGTTTAAGGACAATTTCTATAGAACACCACTACTTTTAGATGCATCTGCAAATAGACTCCCTAGGTAACACAGCACTCATATTTCACCAGGGCAGAGTGAAAATATAAAACTCTAGAACTACAAACTGGAGGATATGCAAATATGGTATTGTCTTAAACAAGGAAGTACAAAATGTTTGACAAGAAGTACAGCAATTTCAAGTGCAGTTCCAAAAATTGGCTCTCACCATAGGGGGGTCCTGGCTCCCAAAGGTCGAGATGTAAACTGTGGACCTGTGTTCTCCAGTGACCTGGGTCTCCAGGTGCAGCATTATGTTCACAGTGCTGTGGGGGGCGATGACTCCGCAGGGAGTGGGGCTAGAAAGCAGCACGGCAGGTGCATCCTTGTACACCTGGTGGAAGAGACAGCCAGAGGTGTGAGCAAGGCCAGGTATGGTACATAATAAATAGCACATGAATTTATTTTGAAACAAGTGTTGTCCTGAGTCCATGGAGGTTCTTTAGAAATGTCTCACTGAGCAAGTAAGTGGGGATGAACACCCCAATTCAGTCAAAAGGAAGTTTGGTTAAGTGGAGTGTGCATAAGGCCTAAAACCCAAAGTGTCCAACACAGTAAGATGCAGAAATTACCCACAAAATGAGTTAGTGCAGGACAATGGCTTTCCACTGCCAAGTTCCCTGAGTTGGCCCTCCATGCCTTCAGACTTCATGCCACCACCTCTCCCCTTTCACTCCATCACTGGAGGCTACTGTATTTCCTGAACATGCGATGCTGCTTCCCACCTCCATCCTCTGCTCTTATGGTTACTCTTCCTAGAATGTCCGTTCCTCCAACATATGGGGCATACTCACCCTGAATTCCCCCCAGGCACTTCCCATACTCTACGGAGGGGGCTTTTCCCCAGGGACATCCTGCAAGGTCCTTCTCCACAGCACACACTGCAGCACAGCACTGTAACCAGCTACCTGTTCATCTTCTCCATGGCTGTCAACATCTCAGGGCATGGTCCGGGCCCCTCCTCTCTACATGCCCACTTTCTGGTTTGTAGTATGTACTCAGTATGTGTTTTTAAAATGAGGGAATGAATGAGTGAATGAATGAATGAATGCTGTCCAGTATTTACCAATGTGTGTTCCTCAGAACCCTGTTCTGTAGCATATTACTAGCTTTTATGTAAGAACAACAAATAGAATTTTTAAAATTCCTTGGTCAAATAAGTTTGGATAATTCTCGGAATCACTTTTCAGAGCCTCAGCTCCCCAGCAGAAAGAAAGAGCATGCAGGGGGCACCCCATAGTCTATGGGCATCTGGTCTGCCTCACATGGCCTCATCTAACTCAACCTCCCTGAATGGCAGTACACTGCCAGGCCCCGGTAGAGCCTGAGGCAAGAGGAAAAATTATTAATACTGATCCTATCTTTAAGTTTTGATATTTTGTTTAATATGGATTTTTAAAAATTAATATTGATTTCCTAGAATATGGCATGAAAATACCACGTGTATTGATTACCGAGTGTTTGGCTTCCCTTATACTTTGTGCCCGAGGCAAGTGTCTCACCCCATGCCCGGCCCTACTGTGCAGAAACAGCTTCCACTGGCCCCAGGGCAGCCTCTTCTCTGAGTTCTGGAGCTGACTGTGCACTGTGCTGGGCTGGCCTGTTCTGCTGTTGACATCTGAGCATTTCAAGTGGTCTTGTGTCACCGCACCCTCAGCTTCCAGTTCCATCTTAGAGAAGCCCACAGAATAATTCTAATTCTCTTTTACATAACAGCTCTTTGACTAGTGACAGGTCTTTTGACTAGTGACCTTGTCCTAGCTACATCTTCTCCAATCCAGATTAAACTCTTGAATTGGCTCCTCATATGACTTGGACTTGCAGATAACACAGATTGCCATTTTTGGTTATTCTGACCACGAACTGGCAGTGCTTCCTTTCCTTTAGCTGAACACTGCATTTCTCTGATGCAGCCTAAGCCTGCATTGTCTTGGTGGCCCCAATATGGCTCTTTTAACTGATATTGAACCTGTAGTCAAATAAAACCTCTCATTTGATATTTCTACGTAAATTTTTATTAGAATACTGTACTTACATAACTGAGTTTTAAACCCAAATGCATTCTTGGTAAATTGCAGCTCATTAGTAATCTTCCATTACTCTAGTCTGTACAGATCTTCTCAAATCTTTTATCCGTACATGAATTGCTTAGTCTCCCACCTACGTAGGTGTAGTGGCATGTGGACAGATACATTTCATAAAACATGAACAGACAATTCTTCCTTTCCCATCCCTGCATTATCTATAGCCTTCTGGTCTAACAAGTCCATTTATAAATATTGCATTACTAGATCTTAGTGATGCCATTCAAGTCACAGCCACGGACAAAAAATGAAAACTCCTAGCTCATTTCCCATGCATGGTTAATCCACAGGCAATTATTTGCAGGTGCAATTGTGCATGTTGGCTTACTTGACACTTTCCCTTCTTTATCAAGGGCAATTTCTCTGGAAAATCAACAACTGTTTACACCTGCAGCTGCTCACGCATGCAGATGGCAACGCAGCTGTGGTTTTATAACCCCATCCCCAGATTATCTGAGGGTTAAAAATCAGAATTACATAAGGCCATGTGTTCAGGAATATGGCTCTTCAGAAGAATTTCTCTTTCTCATTGAGGGAATACAATGGAAGAAAAATTAACACCAAAGAAAGATAAAGTAACTCACCTGAGGCAGGACCTCATAGCATCCTGGAAGGTCATGATGATTGACAATCTGGACCGTTTTCTCATACGGGTACTTCAGGAAGCAGCGTCCAAAGTCCACCTTGGTATTAACCAAGTGGAGGGTAGGTACAACACACCTTGAAGGAACCCATCAAACAATTCAAAGTAGAGAGCTTGTTTACATACAGAAAATGCACAGCCCCAAGTTAAATACATTTGTCACTGTCACATAGTTTTTCTCTAATAACTACATTAATCATTTTGGAATCTTCTCTCCTGCCATCCTCTTTCTTAGCCCCAGTCACCATGTTTTAATCAAAAAAGCACTAGAAGCAGAGCTCCTTCAACAGCTGTGTCTGGTGGGTCGTGACTAACATTTGCTTTGTTTTTCATGTCTGGCCTTCCTTTGGCAAACTCTTAGGGTAGTGGATCTGTTTCCATGTCAAATAGGGCCAATGCCACCAGCATGGGGTCCTAACTAGTTGTGACACTTTGGACCAGTCAGAAAGTCCCCCCAAAGACCAGCAACAGCTCCCATCATCTAAATAATGGTAATAATTCTAATTCCTTTGCAGAACAGCTGTCTTGGATGAGTAGGCTTGGGCAGATGCTCAGCCTAGCCCTGGCACTGTGACAGTGGCTCTCAATATGGAGACGGTGGGGTGGGGGGAGAGGGGGGAATGTTGTGTGCAGCGAAGAGAGGAGTTGAAGCCCTCTGTTTGCAGTTGTTCTTCTTAGGTGACTTGTGTTTTATTCTGTGTCTGTAACTCTCAATATCTAACCTGCCCCATGTCATTGTTGCAATATAGTGCAATGGTGACAAGTACTAGCTTTTGAGTTAGACACAGCCAGGTTCAAATACGGACCATATGAAGTGCATCCGTGTTACCCTGGGCACGATTCTCTCATAGGTAAAATGAAGGTAATTCTCGGGATTGACTTAGCATTATTAATCCTTTTAGGGTGTTGTGGGAAATCCAGGAGATAATGTGCAGAGGGGCAGAGGGGCACAGCCCAGCACCATGCAAGTGCTCAGTGAGCAGCAGTTAACCTGCCGTGGGGACGTGGCAGCTGTCACTGCTGTCTCTCTGGAGAGAGTTACTTTAGGGTGCAAGTTCTAAAAGCAGCTCTTCTGTGGAGAGTCAGCGAGAAGTTCCTACAGATTACACCAAAAGTAATGACATGAAAGAGTCTTTCTTTAACCCCAACATTTGTGATTTAGTGGATATGAGTGTTCATTTTTAGCTACAATGAAAATTGTCAGTTGAACCCATGACTTTCTTAAAGCTAATCTTTTACTATCTGAAACACTGTGACTGAGAGGGTTATGATATTTGACTTGGGTCACAGAGTATACATTAGTAGGGAACTCATAGCTTCTTTAGACTTTTTATTTTATTTTTTTAATTCAGGATTTCCCATTGAGAGCTGCAGGAAAAAAGGTCTAGAGAGTATCAGAATAAGCCTGCACAGAAAAGAAATGCAAGACTAGACTGAAAGGCAGATTTGGGTATAGAGAGGACCAGATTAAAGAGATTTTGCTCTTATTAAACAAAACAATTGGGTTTTCAAGGAATACAAGTAGGTCAAGGCAGCATAGTTCAAGTTCTTTTGTTTTAGGGCTATTTGTCTTCATCCAAGCCCAAGACACACGAAATGGTACCAGTTACTATCTCCCCACCGATCAGCACATCTGCCGTTTCTTTGAGGTGTATTTTCCTAAGATTCACCGGAGGTCTAAATTCTAGAGATTGACATACTGCATTATCAGTTTTGCTAAGTCATTTTCTCTCTTTCCTATACATAACATTTTTATCCATACACTTTAAAGTCCCAGCTCTAAACACCGTCTGCTTTGGAAGGATTGTGGCCCCAGTTTTTATTTAGGATCCTGCCATCATCAGTAGTAACACCATCACCCTCAAGCACCACCATTGGAAAGACCGTAACTTGGTCAAGGAGACACAGTCAACAAACAGCAGAGTCAGGATTTTTAACCTCACTACAGAGCCACTGCTGCCTCTCTAAAAAAGAGAGAAATTGGTGATGGCTCTGAGGGTTTATGCTATTAGAGAGGAGCCTCATTTTCGGGGCTCGCTCACAACTAGCAATTCAAGTCATAGTAACAATGTTCTGGAGCAGGGACCTCTTAGTGAAATGGATCTTGCACTACAGGACTGAAAGCAGCACCTTCCTGCTACATAACTCCAGAGTACTATATTGAAAGATCAACATTAAAACCAGCAACTCTTAATCTCTTCCTGCTAAATCTTTTCGGTTACATACATTGAAAATCAGACCCATCAGAGAGCACTATTCTTAACAGTGAAAAACACACACAACCCTTATCTCCCCCAAAGGTGATTTAGAAACATTTGCTAGTTTAAAGCTTTGTCATTTGAATATCAGATTCAGCTTCCCTTCCCAGGAAGGCAGAACACATCCTGTGTGCAGTGGTTGGCAGGCAAGCTGCCTTCGGGAGGCAGCCCATTACTGGTGGCCCAGGGGAGGCTCCGGAGAGAGAAAGCAGGTGAGTGATACCTTGCTGTAATTAAGAGCGCCAGCACTTCTTCTCCGATGCCGTCCACATCCACCACCAGCGCCAGCTCATATTTCTGCACAGTGTTGGAACATAATGTCACCTGGAAAGAAAAAGGTGAAAAGTTGCTTTTCTAAAAGGCCAGCCTTCTCTCTGCACAGTGGAGAGAGCAGCCAGGGGAAGGACTACGCTGATCAGTGTCATATCTAAGTGCTCTGTGGATGTATGGTGTTTTACATTTTCAGTTGAACAAGTTACATTGTGGGATCAGAGCATGCTGAGTATTTTCAAAGGCCAGGTTAGAAGCCAAATGGCTTTTAGTATAATAGGTTTGCTTATTACTGAGGCTGTTTTATGAAAATCCACATACTTCCATATGGGGAAAAATAATGATGAAGGATGAGCAATACCAAAGAAACTTTAATTATTGCAATTTAAATCGTTCCTTACACCTCTGGGCTATATGAATTATGAAAATTCAATATACCAATAAAACACTAGAGCAAAATAAATGAAAATAACCATATCAATTCCAGAAAATAGCATAAGAAATCAATTACTCTGTTTTACCAAAATCTTGTGCCCCGCCCCCCATATTAATTTTTAGAACAGAAAATAGGAAGCTCCAAAGGAAGGTCTATCCGAGGACAATATCTGGCCAGAAACACATACCTTATGTTTTTATTTGCTGCTGTGAAACTTTGCCTTTAGGCTTTTGAAAGCCTTGTTACAATTTTTAATTGCTTCAAAATGATTTGTAGTAGAAGAGGTACTTGTAAGTCTAGAAAACAGCTTCTGGCATGGGTTAAAGCTTTTCTACCTATAAATTATGTATCAGGTACTAATTAAAATTTTTTTGGTTGCAGAGAGAATCACTGGATGCAAATTTCAGTCCACATAGACCTGGCTGAAGTGCAAGTCAGGAGAGAAAATCGAAGCTTGGAGAAAGCTTTTCCAGATATAAAGGAAAAATAAAATGGAGATGAAGTCATTGATTTGGAAAGAAAACTTGTCAGATTTGGAAAGAAGCAGAAAATCCTGCTGTGACTTGTCACCCCCTGTTTATGTATCTGGGCTATGGTTAAAAGGAAGAAAGACCATGTGGTCCTGGTGGAAGGCTGCTATGGAGATGCTATGTCTTTTAAAATCTTCTGCTATCTGGGAGAAGCAGAAAAAAAAAAAAAAAAAGGAAAAAGGGAAAGATAGGCAACACACCTGGGCTAAGTTTTATTAAGTAAAAAAGAAAGAAATCCATTGCAGCAGCACTTCTCACTAGGAAAGTCACATTTAGCAATCCTGAGTAGTTATAATGATATACAATATCAAATCTCATTGGACCTGTGGAGAAGCCCATGGAAGGACTGAAAACTCCCAGAAAAGATTTAGGGTGAGTGGATTTGAGGTGAAATATTATGAAGCACTGAAAACAAATCTGGGGAATAAAATGACAACTGGGTTAAACATTCAATGGTAATGACTAAAGAGAAAATTACCAACCTTAGCTATGAAGTCTTATCTTTTTTCTTTCCCAGAAAGCATAAAATCATTTCAATTTAGCAGCCTTCAGTATTGCTAGACCTAACTGCTTGGAGGAGCAAAAGTGAGGAAGACAGCCAAAACCTTTCTCAGTTAACTGTGAAATAATTCTGCTGGCGGCATCAGGAGGCCATAACCAAGGCATTTCGCTGTCCTGATTTTGGGCACAGCAAGACAGGGTGGACAAGCAGCGTCCCACCGCTCTTCCTGGGACCTAAATACAAAGCATCGATGGCAACATCACATCCATGCTTGCTATGAAGTCTGGATTCATATTACAAATCTGAATAAACTGGATATCATCTTTGGCATAAATCTGGCTATTTGTTGGTATAAAGGATCTGAGTCTGAAGGGAAGAGCCTAATTATCAATGAATTTGTACATCTGTTTATACTATTACTGAAGGTGTTCTATCTGTATAGAGCAGTGGTTTTACCAGAAATACCTAGAATCCACTGTTCTGGTGAAGACAATGCATCTAGATTAATGTAAATCCACTGGAGCAGGGTCAATCTCCTTGCCCGATGGATTTGTGTCTGAATTCTTCTACTGCAGTAGTTCATTTTCTCATAGGCCCATGTTTCCACGTGAATTGACAGGCATTCCCTCTCACTGACACTGGACATAGAGCAAACCCTAAATGTGGTTCTAATGGCCATTTGAAAATTCAGCTGCACAGCTGTGTGTGCTGGAAGCCCATGCACTTTACCCTGATAGCAGCAAATCCCTGGGAACGGATGGTGCCACAGTTGGGAGTGATGGTGAATTCTTTTGGTTTCATTGTGGGTATTTCTTCCTTGGTCCGAGATGGTCTTTTGTTGTCTGAATACTGCTCACAACTTGAAATGCTTTTATGGCCAAGGCCATCCCCGGGGATACGCAGTTTGAAGATCATGGGGACCAAAGAGGTATTATTGAGGGAACATATCAAGGTTTGAGGAAACCCTGAAAAACAAAATATGACATGAGAAATAAAAGCCCCCCAAATAGGCTCCCTTGACCCTCAACCTCTCCTAGCAAATGCCAGACTCCTTGAATAAATTGTCTATGCAATTCATCACTACTTAACTCCAACTTGCTCTAAATTCATCACTCCTTAACTCCAACTTTCCCTAAATATTGTTTCAATCATACAATCAACAAATATATTTCATTCATTCATTCAATTGTTCATTTATGCATTCATTCACTTATGCATTCACTCAATGAATATTTATTATGCATTTACTATGTATCAGGTTAAACAGTAGATACAAAACAAACCCTTTGAACGTCACCCAGGCCTTTCCAAAGAGGCAGCCCCTATTACTAGTTTGCTGAGTAGTTCTGGAGAAGTATATTTTGCATAAAAATATGTTTTGTTTTTTTTTAACAAGGAATTATGCTTGCTCTTTTTGTTTGCTAGGTGTGAAAGGAGCAGACTGTGTGGTTTTGCCCTCTGTGTGACCCAGAGCCTGCCTAGAAATGATAGAACTCATCCTGCACTTGTCTGTGGATCATGCTCTCAGCGTTGATGATATAATATTTAATAATAGCCTCTCCCAGTAGAGGCTTTACAACCTGCTTTAGAGGCCAGAGACTAACACCCCAACTTTTACCTCGCTTAAACAAAGCTGCTTTGTCACATTTACACAGCTCTGTTGCGTTCAGTTCAGTGAGATTCATGCTCTTTTCTTAAGAGATGTAGATCTTCCTTGCCTGGCAAACAATAAATTGAGCTTTGATTTTGGATACCCTAGGTGGACATTATATATCTGCCACCATTTTCAGAACAAGAAGAATTATCTATAGCCATAGGAGAACAAAAATGCCTATTTCTACTGGATGCAAACACTGCTCTTCTACCTTGAACCCTGCTGCAATAAAATACAATCAGTCTCTTGGAATAATGACTGTTACTGCAGTGGGTATTTTGAACTGATCTACTTCTAACTTGTTTTTTAAATGGTCAATAGTTAATTCAATCGACCAATATATTTTACCAATTTCTTTGCTCATAATTTTTTCTTGCAACTCATTCAAGCCCTTTGGGTTCAAGGATGTTATTTTAAAAATTACATCCTTTAGAAGTTCTTTCACTAAGGGTCTGCAGATGGTGGCTTTTAGTCTTTTTATGTTAAATATGTCTCAATTTCATCCTAACTTAATGACAGAGTGAGCACAGAATTCTAGGACGGCAATTATTTTCTCTCAATATTTTGAAAACTTTATTGCAGATCTTCTTGTACCATTGCCACTGTAAGATAGCTGCTGTTAGTTTAATTGTTATTCTTTCATAGATAATTTTTCTCTCTACTAGCTTTTAAGATTTTCTCTTTATCTTTGGTGTCCTTTAATTTCACTATGATGTTTCTATGTTTGGATTTACTTTTATTTGTCCGGCTATACACTATAAGGTCAGCTGTTTTTCTTTAATTTAAAAATTCTCAGCCACTATCTCTTCAAATATTGCTCTCTGGCCATTTTTACTCTTTCTCCTTCTGCTCCTATTAGATACATGTTGGAACTTTTAAATTAATCTATTCTCCATGTTTCTTTATTTCCCTTTTATATATTTTATGCTTCGTTTGCTTCCAGTGCTGTATTCAGGATGAATTTCTCAATTCTAGTGAATTGTCAATGTACACGTTTTATGCCTGATTGCCAGTGTTTTGAGAGCTCAAGTGGAGGGAAAAGGAAGAGGATGGAGAATTTTGCAGTTCGGTGTGTTCAGTAGTTCCTAATTCCTTGTTATCAATACAATATTTCTTCTCTAAGCTGTACCTGGGGTCCACCAATCCACAAACCCTTTGGTTCATCCCCTTGATGGATCAATCTCTAGTCTTATGCCAGGGTGAGACAGGCACAGTTGCCAAGCTGTGTAGAATGGGGGTAGGTGATGGGTGAGGGTTAAATTGCTGTATCTAGGACTCATGCCAAAGGAACATGTTAAATGTTATGAATAAATTTTTTTAAAATTAAAAAACCCATTGACCAGTGCTGATAATTTCTTATAAACAAAATCCATTTCATAGGTATATTTAAGAGAATGCCTGCATCTGCCATATATATATTGCTTTGAGTATCTTTATCATTCTTAATCCCATTGCAGTGTGGCTTCTGCTCCCATCACTGTTAAAAACTGTACCTAGAACCCGCTAGTGACTTATACTATTCAGTCTGGAGCACACTAACATGAAGTTATTCATGTTAGAAGCATCCCCATTAAAAATCAATGCCTGTTCCTTGAAGGCCCTGTTTTTGTATTTATAGTCATTGAAACACACTGGAAGGAAGCTATAGATACCTGAAAACAAATACAGCATTTTGAAAATATCAGCGGCATCTCAGCATTATATGTGTACGCTTCCCCTTTACCATATTCTATTGAAATAAATTCTATTAGGGTCCTGGATGTTTTTAAGCATCTGAATTTTAGACAAAGAGTTTCAGGTACTCTTGGGGCTTAATAATTGGCTTGCAATTGGCATATGGCATTTACATTAACATTTCAGAGCTCAATAATAGAGTAGATTCCAGACAATGAAAACAGTGTGAGATTTCTTGGAGGAACTGACTTGGGATGCTTAATTGGACTCTCCTTTCTCCCTGCAGGGTGATGTGATACAGGGCACATCGTCCAAATGTCCCTGTGCTGGGCTTTGTATTCCAGTGCTGTGGAAGGGTGTGCTGCTGTCATACATCAGCTGCATAGACCTCTCCTCAGACTCAATTTGAATGGTTCAGAGGATGACTACCTAGGTCTTTGGGTAAACTAATATTCCTCACATTGTGCACCAGTTGCAGTTACCTTTGAGAACCTCTCTTAATTGGCCACCAGATGATTTTCAAGTTGAAGGTCACTTTTATTTTCCTTCAAAAGAGTAATCACTTAGACATACCCTACAATTTGTAAAAATCTCTCCAGCCATTTCCATATGTTACAGTAACAGATATTCAACTTTATTTATGTAAGTTTTCCTACAGTATGTATTTTATGCAATATAACACACATGAGGGGCATTGTATAAATAATGTGCTCTGAATAAATAAAATTGTCATAACCCCTAAATGTTAAAGCAGCTGAGAAAGACGTCATGAATAGGCTTTTTCTAAAGAACTATTTTTACCCAAAATAAACGGATCTACTCAAAATGAAGCAAAAGTCAAAATGGGAGGCCATGAGGCAGAATGGAAAGGATTGGGGAATACAGATCTGGACTAGTGTTTCTCAACCTTTTTTCCCCCATTATTACCACCTAAAAAAAAGGTAAATTAATTTTAAATAGAAGAAAATTAATTAATTAAATATGATTTAAGTTAGATTAAAATTCTCCCTAACAGCAAAAAAAAGTTAATTACTAAGGAATGAGATTCTCTTGGGTACAACTGAACTTTCACAAATCATTGTTTTATCTATGTTTTTGTGTCTTTTTCCCCCACCATCCAAGCACCAATTTTTGCCCCTTTGAGGGCGACATCACACCTGTTCATAATGCATAACTTTAGATAGATCTAATCTGAAATACTAATTCTGTTACTGTTGTGCGACCTTAGGAAGTTATGTAATTGTTCCAAGCATCACTGCTTCCACCTCTGAAATGGGGATATTAAGTAGTTTCTCCCTACAGGATTGCTAAAAGGTTTAAATGTAGCACTGCATGTTATCCACTTGGCAGTGGCTGAAACACAAGAAATAACTAATAAATGGAGCTTCTGCTGCTACTGTTGTTTTTATTACTGCAGAAGCTTAGACAGGAAGCAGGGAAAAGATTGAGTGGGAAGACAACACGAAAACGTAGAAGAGCCTTCAACCTGGACTGATGGAACACCTGAATCAAACCACCACTGACTCCAGCTTAAACTTGAGAGCATCTCTGTGAAGCAGTTGCTGTGTAGCCAGACTGGCAAATCAGAATCTGCATTTATTTATTTTTTGTCCTTTTTGAGACCGGCCACACCGCGCTCAGCCAGTGAGCGCTGTGAGTGCACCAGTCATCCCTATATAGGATCTGGACCCGCGGCGGGAGCGCTGCTGCGCTCCCAGCGCTGCACTCTCCCGAGTGCGCCATAGGCTCGGCCCCAGAATCTGCATTTAAATAGAGTGTTCAGAATATTCAGAGAGTGGAATGAAGCCCGAGGCTCTCCGTTGTCTCACGGCTGGAAGAGGGAAGATGGTCGTGGCATGACAGCTGTTAGTGCTCAGGACACAGCTACCACTTTTACACATAAACTAGAAAATGGCACCCAAATACCACTGCCACAGAGGAAGGAAAGATCAATTCTCTTTTTTTAAAATTTAATTTTATTTTGTCAATATACAATGTGGTTGATTATTGTGGCCCATTAAGGAAAGACCAATTCTACACACCCTTGGCTGGTACTCATTAAAAATAGTAAGAGGGGTTGTTTGTAAACCTTTCTTCTCCCATGAAGAGAGAAAAGGAATTCTACCTTATTTATAATTTAAAATGGAAAATGACTCACCAAAGGAAACATCACCAAAGTGCAGAGCAGGAACGTTAAAGTGGAAGGTAGGTCCAATGATACAGCCTCTGAAAGTAGGAATACAAATTGGGGGAGTAGGGAGAGAATCCAGTGAATTCAGGATAACAATCAGCAACTGCGGAGAGGGTAAGGGTAAGGGTAAAAACCATTACCTTGGCATTAAGTAAATTATAGAATCTAGGATTTAGAGAGATTTTGAGATGATGGTCTATCATAATGGTTCTTATAATTTTTTTCCAAGACTCAAACCATGGGTTTTAGCAAATGATGCTGCAATTAACTTATTACCTTATTCCTACTAATGAATGGGGCAGAGGCAGAGCAGACAGATCACTAAACCAATGGCACAAAATATTGTTAATTTAGATGAGACACATATCACATAAAGTTCTTAACTCACCCAGAAATAAAAATTGTAAGTCTAATCATATAACAAACATCCAAGACTGCCAATGATTCCAGTAATCCCTGTCCCACACTTTCATAAAACTGTGTTAATTCCACTCCTGCCACCACCTAGCTGTGATCTTGGCCAGACACTTTACCTCTATCAGCCTAAGTTTCTCTTTCTCATGTATAAAAGAGAGGACTGGGGTAGCTGGTTTTGAATGACCTCTTACTCTAAATGTTGATCTACAAAGGGACTTCAAAAAGTTTGTGAAAAAATAGAATCAAAAGATAAAAATAAAAAATACAAACTTTATTTCTCAACATGAAGTCCATCAAGTTCAAGACAACACTTTTGTAAGTGATGATACCAGCCATTTAGTCCATCCAAAGGAACTGAGGGTCCTGGGAATTTATCCATGTTAATGCAGTGTTTTTTATATTATTAACTGAGGAAAAATGGGGGCCCTCTGAAGATTTTAAAGATTAGGAAACAAAAAGAAGTCAGAAAGAGACAAATCAAAACTTTAAGGTGAATGCCTAATGATTCCTCATTGAAACTCATAAAATTGTCCTTGTCTGATGAGATAAATGAGCAGGAGCATTGTTATAGTGGAAAAGGACTCTTTAATGAAATTTCCTTGGTGTTTTTCTGCTAAAGCTTTGGCGTACTTTCTCCAAACACTCATAATAAGCAGAGGTTATTGTTCTTTGGTCCTCCAAAAAGTCAACAAGCAAAATGCCTGAGTATCCCAAAAAACTGCTGTCACACCCTTGGCTCTTGACTGATCCACTCTTGCTTTTCTACCTCTTGGTAGCCATGGCTTTGATTGTGCTTTGTCTTCAGGAAGGTACTGGTAAAGCCATGTGTCATCTCCTGTTACAATTCTTCAAAGAAATGCTGCAGGATCTTGATTCCACTTGTTTAAAATTTCCATTGAAAGCTCTGCTCTTGTCTGTAGCTGATCTTGGTGCAACAGTTTTGGCATCTGTTGAGTAGAAAAGTTTGTTCAACTGTAATTTTTCAGTCAGAATTGTGTAAGCTGAACCAATTGGGATGTCTATGGTGTTGGTGTTTCTGCTGTTACTCATCCATCCTCTTCAATTAAGGCCTGAAGAAGATTATTTTTTCCCTCACAAATTGATGTGGATGCTCTGCCACTGCAGTCTTCATCTTTAATATTCTTTCCTCTCTTCTTAAAATGAATTATCCATTTGTAAACTGCTGATTACTTTGGGGCACTGTCTTTATAAACTTTTTATAAATCATCAGTGATTTTTGCCATTCTTCCACCCAGGCTTCACCATACATTTGATGTTTGTTCTTGCTTCAATTTTAGCAGAATTCATGCTGTTCTGATAGGGGCTTTTTTCAAACTGTTTTATCCTTCTTAGTGCCTCAGACTAGATCCTGCTTAGACATGTTATAAATAGTTAATACAAATTTATTTTGGTGCAAAAAGTTTTTGAAATCTATGCATAGTTTTTTCATAATATGCATTTTCCATGAAATTTTTGAAGATCTTTTGTATTCCTCTCTCAGTGCAAGGCCTCATGATCTTGGAGAGATGCTCTAGTTTAAAATAAATAGAGAGATTCTGCAACTTCTAGTTTACTTCAGGTGTGGTAGGTAGAATATTGGTTCCCAGAGGAGTACGTCTGAAGTCTTAGGAGCTGAGGGCAGCCCCCTCTGCTCAGAAGCAGGCAAGGAGCATGCCTGGGGTCCTAGGCAGGAGCCAAGAGCAGCCCCCTCTGCCCAGAAGCAAGTAAGTAGCATGCCCAGGGTCCTAGGTAGGAGCCAAGGGCAGCATCCCCTGCCCAGAAGCAGGAAAGGAGTGTACCCGGGGTCCTAGGCAGGAGCTGAGGAGAGCCCCTTCCACCTGGAAGCAGGCAAGCAGCAGATTATGCTTGGAGTCCTAGGCAAGAGCCAACGGCAGCATCCCCCACCTGGAAGCAAGCAAAAGAGCACACTGAAAACATGACTTCCACATGAGTGGTCTACCACAACCACTGTCACAGCCATGGTTGCTGTAAAAGCGGCTTGATGTCACAGCAGCAGCCACAGATACCATGCAGGTGGCCTGCCAGACACTCAACTGCATTGACATAAGGAGAGTCACCAGTGGAGACCAGAAAAAGAAGAGGACATCTCTCTCCTCTAATCCCACTCTGGAGTAATAGAAGAAGCCACTGCTCTATCAGAAGACTGGATGTCAATGTAGAGAAACTAGAAATACAAAACCTCAAGAAAATATGACACCATCAAAAGGATACAGTAATTCTCAAATACCAGATTCTTTAGAGCAGGAAACCCTTGAAATGACTGAAAAGGAATCCTAAGCAACAATTTTAAGGAAACTCATGGAGATACAAGAACACTCAGTTAGACAACATAATGAAATGAGAAAAAAAAATCCAGGATAGGAAGAGGAAATTTACAAAGAGATTAATACATTGAAAAAGAATGTAGCAGAACTCCTGGAACTGATGGATTCATTCAATGAAATAAAAAACCCAACTGAGAGCTTAAGCAGCAGGCTAGAACAAGCAGAAGAATTTCTGAACTTGAAGATAGCCTTTTTGAAATAACCTAGGTGGACAAAAGAAGGAAAAAAGAATTTTTTAAAAATGAAGAAAATCTAAGAGAGCTAGCAGACAACCTTACCACACAAACATTCAAATCATGCATATTCCAGAAGGGGAGGAGAAAGAAAAAAGGAATGGAAAACCTGTTCAATGAAATAATAACAGAAAACTTCCCAGTTATAGGGAGAGACATGGACCTTCAGATCTAGGAGGGTCAAAGATTGCCAAACTGATTCAACCCAAAATATCCTCTCCAAGACACATTATAGTCAAACTGGCAAAGCTCAAAGACAAAGAGAGGATCTTAAAAGAAGCAAGAAAAAAGCATCAAGGTACCTATAAGGGAGCCCCTATCAGACTAACAGCAGACTCCTCAACAGAAACTCGATAGGCCAGAAGAAAATGGGAAAATATATTCAAAGTCCTAAAAGAAAAAAATTTCCACGAAGAATACTACCCAGCAACACTATCCTTCAGAAATGAGGGAGAAATAGTGTATTTTCCAGACAGATAAAAGCTGCAGAAATTCACCACCACATGACCAGCCCTACAAGAAATCCTCAAGGGAGTCCTGCATCTGGAATCTGAACAACAATAATCACTATCATGCATACACAAGAAAGAACAAAACCCATCAGTAGAATAAAAATGCAAATGAGAAAGAGAAAGAAACTAAATCTTACCACCACAAAAAACCATAATGACAATGAAACAAAGCAAACAAACTCTCAGTCTCTTTGGAAGATGATAAGGAAACAATTCATTTTTCTAAAACTAGTAAGTAAAAGGGAAGAGTCAAACATTTATCCTGTCTTTTCTATATGAATTGTTCCTCAGGGTAGCGTAAATAGCTGAGGAGGGAATATTTCTGTCTAGTAAAGTATCCCATTTAGTAAATAAAGGGGGAATAAAATAATTAGAATATGGTATTTTGCAAACTCCTATTGAAATAATGAATCTAGCAAATAATCACCAATGACTGCTAATGTCACAGAGAGACAATCAGAAATAATGGGCCTCCTGCAGTAAGAACATAGACCTCTGAAGCCAGTTGGTCATGGTGTATAATCCTTTTTATAAGTTGTGGAATTTGTTTGCTAGTATTTTGTTGAGGATTTTTGTGTCTATATTCATAAAGGTTACTGGTTTTTAGCTTTCTTGTGATATTTTTGTCTGTTTTTGGTATCAGGGTAATACTGGCCTCAGAAAATGAGTTGGAAGGAGTTCCTACCTTTTCCATTTTTTAGAGAAGAATTTGTGGAGGATTGATGTCAACTCTTCATTGAACATTTAGTAGAATTTGCTAGTAGAGCCATCTGATTCTTGTTTTTTTGTTTTCATTTTTACGTGGTAAGCTTTTTCATTACTATTTCAATCTCTCTATTACAGGTCTATTGAGATTTTTTGTTTATTCTTGAGTTAGTTTTAGTAGTTTGTGTCTTTCTAGGAATTTTCCCATGTTATCTAGGTTATCTAATTTGTTGGTATTCAGTGGTTCACAATGTTACCTAATAATTCCTGTTGGGTATAGTGTTCTATAGATGTCTGTTAGCTGGTTTATAGTGTTCAACTCTTCTCTTTCCTTTATGATATTCTGCTTAGTTTTATATTTATTATTGAAAGTGGGGTATTGACATCTCCAACTATCATAGTTGAATTGTCTATTTCTCCCTTTAATTCTGCCTGTTTGTGCTTCATGTATTTTGGTGTTCTGCTGTTAAGTGTGTGTATATTTATAACTGTCATATCTTCTTGATAGATTAACTCATTTATCATTGTAAAATGTCCTTTTTTTTTTGCCTTGAGTAACAATTTTTATTTTTATTTTTTTTATTTTTTTATTTTTTTGTCTTTTTTCCGTGTCCGGCAACGGATCGCAACCCTCAGTGTTGCCCCCTTACCGGACCGGGGACCGGCAACGGGATCGCAAGCCTCGGCGTTGCTCCCGCGCCTCGCTCAGCCAGTGAGCG